AGCAACTATTGGACGCGAATGTATTAAAAATGCAAAAAACGTTTTGTCCAGACAAAGAATAAAACAAAAAACTGAGTGTGAAGAGAATACAAACGTGGCAAATGAAAAAACCAATGCAAAAATAAATTTTAAGCCAAATTAAATCGCCAGAGGTAGCAAAGACATAACTATAATGGCCACAATAACGGTTGAAATGCATGCTGAACGAATGAATTGTAAAGCTGCAGGCAAGGCGACACTCTTCGTGGTCTTGCGGTGCGAGCAAAATGAAATGGAAGAAAGCAATGAATAATGTGGTTATGAGCGGACCAAGGACTCGCAGCAGTGGTGTAGGAAGTTATGTAAAGATGGAGCGCACATGGAAAGTAAAGAAAAGTAAAAAAAACAAGATTGTGAGACGTACAACTACAATTAAGCAAGATATGAAACAATTGAACAAAATAAGGCTATAATACGAAAAAATACAAATTATATTAAAAAAATATATTAAAAAAATTAAAATACTGGAAAATTAAATAAATTATGTATCTGTCTCTTATACACATCTAGATGTGTATAAGAGACAGCTGTTATACGGACGGACAGATATGCGGACATGAACAATTGTTAAAAACTTCGTGACAAACTTAATACACCCCGTTCAAGGCATGTAAGTTGTTTCTTTTATGTCCAGAATAAATGATTTAAAAAAGTTTGTAAACTTTACTTCTCAATAATTGGAAACAAAAAAATACTTTTAGAAATGAACAAATGCTTTATTTGTAAATAACTTTGAATGCTTTATTTTCAGTCTTAATAGTTTAAAAAATTACATAAAAAATGTTTTTTTTGCTATTAATTTTTTAAAAATATGTACAATATTTTTTAAAATTTAGAAATATTTTATTTTTTTATATTAAAATTTATATTTTATTTTTATATTAAAATTTATACTGTATTTTTTAAATTATAATTTATATTTTAATTATTAAAATAATATTAAACACTTTATTTTTTAGTCTTACTAATACTTTTCATTGCATCAATTTTTTAAATACAATTTTTATGTACCAAATTCTAATTCAACCATTTATTAAAAATGCAAACAATGCAAATTTAAGTTAAATAATTGATGCACAAACATTAACAGTATTTTGTTTTTTTTTTTTTTTCAGTCAAAACAATGAAAACACAGCGTCATATCACACCACAGAGAGTGATTTTCTACAATGCGCCTAGAAGTATGCAAACACAAGACAAAATGCGTCGCATATGAGCGCACATGTACAAGTATTGGGCAAATGGTGAAAAAATGTCAACGGCAACACCCACAGCGGCGAAAAGCAATAATAATAACTGTAACTGGTAATGCAACAATAAAAAAGCAACAACAACCACAGCTACTCCAATATACCAAATAGCGGTAAGTAATGTTCCATAATACTAAATATGTGTATGTATGTATGTACTATATGTACACACTGCCCCTTTGCATCCCACACTGGCTCCCCGCACAGCAGAACACAGCATGTGGCAAATTAATGCCGACGCAAGCGTTGGCAGCAACAATTTAGTCTAATACCCGTGCGCGCCATGTTTCTAATGCCATGTGGAGCCGAGTGGCGCTCCTTGCTTTGCCTTGCCTTGCGTTATTCGGGACCCACTACCCGGCCACCAGCGCCTGTCGCTGTGCACGATTTGAGTGGCAGCAGGATTCCCAATGGGTGGCACACACGCACACAAAGTAAATGTAACGGGAGATGTGCGCACACTTTCACTGTAGTCGGCCACAATTGTTGACATTACAACATTGGCACTTATGCCGTTATGTTGTTACTATATTGTTGTTGTTTTTATTGTAACCGAGCCCTGGTTAAAAATGTAAATTTAAAAACATATTGGCCAAGAGAGAAAGAGAGAGCGGGATCGTGAGAGTGAAGAAGTGAGAGGAAGAGTGTGATGTACTGAAGAACATTAAAGTGTTGTTTTTGCTCTGGCTGCTTTTGTCGTCGCTTGTGTCAATGTTTATATAATTTCTTGGTGTTTTGTTACTGTGGCTTTTTGCATTACTGCTTGTGCGCTTTTTCGTGTGTCCCATACATACACACAAGTGTGTGTGTTTTTTGGGATTTTATATGATGCGCTTTTAAGGAGTTAAGCGTTAAATAGATAATGATAAATGTGTTGAACGTAAGCAGAGACAAAAAACGTAAATCCGCAAAATATAGGCGGTGGACGGGTGGGGATTCTCTTTGGATTTCAGCAAGCAGGCGTACGAATAGTTGGCAACCTAAATGCGGTAGGCGGCTCGCAATCCCTGACGACCTTGCAGCATTACTAGAGCAGAAACGGGAGAAAGTAAATACGCACACATGTACATGTGTATGTATACGTATATAAATGCATGCGCTTATGCGTGGTTAAGCACCAGCGCTGCCGGCGGAGTTTAAAGTGTTTGTATATACATACATATACATATGTAAGTTTCGAAGTGATTCAGTTTAATAATAGGCGTTGAAAACTTAATTTTGATTACAAATTGGTAATCCCACTGTAAGCGGTTGAAAAATTCATGGTACTGGTATAGGAAAGAATTTTTTCTAAGTTCTGAATAATTTTAATAACAAATATTTTTGGTGAAAAGTTTAAAGAAAAACTTTCCTTTTTATATTTTAATTACATAATTTTTCATACTTTTTTACATTTTTATTATCATTAT